CCCCCGCCCACGACCCCAGGCAAAGAGTTGGAAAGACCCCATGCCCCCAAAGAGAGGATTCCTTAAATGATGATGGCCAGATTCCCTGTTTGTAAGTTTACCTCCTCCATATCACTGACATTGGAGAATAAATATCTATTTGCATATGAAAAGCAAATTGTGTTCAATGATTCTAAGTGAAAAAAAAAAGAAACTATATTCAAGATTATAAAGACCTGTGAATTGGTCTCTTAATGTTTATTCCACCTCCAGTCTGGTAATATCTCAGGAAAGTACACATCTGGCACATACAATTAGCATACAAACCAAGAAATCACCATTACTAGGTTAAAAGGAGCAAAGGGTTTTGTTGTAAAACAGCACTACTGTTTATCATTCAGCAAAAAACTTCTGCTGAGGCACATTTTCTCACAATGAACTTTAAATCATAAAATCTCTGTGTCTATGAATTAAAACTGTAACTCACTTGCCACATCTATTGTAAAATCCAAATTACCATGTATAGTTGAAGTATAATGACAACTTGTAGACAAACTGTTGCTTACTGCTACAATCAGATAATGTTACAGAACTTACAAGGGAACCGTTTCTTTTTCTTTCTTTTTTCCCCTTGAGCAGTGTTTTTCTGTGTTCAAGCAATTAACAGAAAGCTGTTCATGTGAGAACTCCTACCTGATTCATATTTAGGGCTTACAAAGCTGCTTTATTAGATCAGCGTTTCTTAAGGAAGATAGATGGCCTTAAAACACAACGGATAACAGTTCCCTCAATAAAATAAGCAATTATAGGTGTAAGAGTAGAAAGACAATTTTAGTTTGATCACAAAGCATTATACTAATACACAAACTCAAAGGGTTACAAGGGACTTCGGATGGGGGCCATCTAATTCATTTGTTGCTATTCAAAAACACTCACATTGAAATAATTGCAGACATGGAAACCTATCCTCTTATTAACTCTCTCTCTCTCTTTCTCTCTCTCATTCCTCCCTTTCTCCTCTCCCCTCCCTGTCCTCCTCTTTACCTTCCTCCCATCCCTTTCTTAAAAATGCCCATTCTTAAAGTGGAACAATTATTACACTTAGGAAATTCTTCCTTCCTTAAGAATTAAGTTACACATTCTTGAGCAAAATCTATGATTTTAATTTTTGAAATAAATAGATTAGTATTTTAATGTGATTTTGATGCTTTCCTCTGTAAATAGAAACTTTAATTAATTTTTATTAAAGCTACTTTCTAAAGATACAAATGATAAATTACTCTTGTTTCCAGAAGCAGGTGGTCTTATACTATTTTTGGACCATGTTATACCATGTGTTTTGAGGTTATTATTTTAATTTACTTAAGTTTTATTTACTCCTTATCACAGCAATGATAACTTCTTTTTGCTTGAATTGATTGTGTGTGTGTGTATAGAGGTGATAAATAAATATTAAATATATAGGAAGAAATATATTTGTGATATGATATATGTGACTTCCATTGCATTTTCTTTTCTTTATGGGTATTTTATTTATTACATGCATTTGATATAATCATGTTACAAGTATTGCAATACATAATCGTAAAAATTCATGAAATATATTCTATGAATGCAACCCATGAATGAAGATGAAGACAACTGCTAGAAATGCAAAGACACACACACACACACACA